TCCGTTATTTGTGCACAGGTGTGGGTGGAGGTAGGGGATTGGTGCAGGAAAAGCTTTACTCTTCCCCCCTTGCAGAAATGTATAGTTTATGAGTAATGATTTTCTTTGTAAAATCATAACCTCACTTTATACAGGAATATTGACCCAGTCACTTCTGCAACGGCTTCGGCACTGCGGGAAGTGCAGCCCCTTCGCCCTTGCGTAACAAATCACAGGCACCCATGCTCACCTCCGCAGCTTTGGCTTATTGGTCACTTTCGGTGACCAGCCTCAGCTGCTACAGCTCGCACATCTGCCTGCAATTTGCTACGGCGGGCGAGGACTGCTCTCCGTTCTAGCCTGCAGCTTTACGAAAACACTAGGGTCTAGGGGTAGGGCAGATAAGACTACATGAAGTTGGGGTGTGCTGATTCGGTTTTAGAACAGATTCAACCAATCTTATCTTTAAAGTTAGGTTGCCCCAAACTCTGCTATGATAGTGGTAAATTTAATGTGAATTGTTATAATTTTGTTTTCTGAAAAACCTCTTGACTGCTGTCTACTGTAACTAAATTTGTTGTATATGAGTCTCGTCTTCAACAACTTTTTTATTGGTGTATCCATGTTAAAAAAACCAAATTGACATTTGTGTTTCATTACATGAAATTATTAGTAAAATTTATTTTTGTTGTAAATAATTCAAAAGGCATTTCCAATATCCAAAAACAGTGTAGAAGGTTCAAGCTAAACTCTGACAAACCTAAATTGAAAACAAAATTAAAAAATTAAGTACCGGATGTCTACTTCATAATACTAGACCAAATTGACATATTTGTGTTATATATGTTTGTTATTAAGCAATTTTAGTGAAATTTTATTTTCATCGTAATTCAAAACGCATTTCCCACATCTAAAAACAGTGTAATAGGTTCAAGCTTAACCTTAACAAGCCTCCTAAACTAAAAACATTATTAAAATCAAGTATCATTCGTCCAACCCCTATTTTAAAATACATTGGCAAGCTATATACTGCACAGGACATAATATTCCAGTGGAAAAAGTATATCATTATTCAAATAGAGGCATTCACTGTATCAGATATGGTGGCAATCACAAAAAAATTAGTCTTAAACTCAATCTCTTAAATTATTAGTATTAGAAGTAAGATACCTTTACTTGTCTAAAAATTTTAGGAGCTTAAGCTTACAAATTTACTTTTTACTTGCTTAAACACACATAACACTAATTTGTGATTTGTGGAATAATTTGACAGTGATTGCGTAAGAATAATGTACAGTCATTCTTTTGTATAAATGCTTATGAAAAATTACTAATTATGTGCCTAACTTAATAATAATAATATCCTCCTAACCAATTATTGGTCATGGGGTCCAGTGTCTATGGACAGTAGGCATCCACACAGGCAAGGATTATAATAGTGCATGTGTGTATGCAAGCACAAGTGCACTTTATATTTCCTCACTCTCATAGTCCAATGGGACAGCAAACTGATACAACCATAGAGAGATCAGATGCAGGACCTATAGCTTTACATGCTTTCTGAGCCACAGGGGTGAAATACTGCCAAGTATCTGACTCTGGTCTGCTACTGAGAATTACTTTACAGAAAAACTCGAGGACTGATGTTTGTTCACCCTACAAGGTTGACCTTCTATTGACACTTTCCAAGTTGTCACTCAGTATCAGAGATGCAAGAATTCCTTGGAGGCGGTCTATGTATAACAGTGAAATTGTGATGGGCTGAAATGGTGATATGATTATGATATTCAGATTAATTACAAGGAATTAAAAATAAAATAAGCTATAATAATTATGTCTTCCAGACCGAATTTCGGTCCAGGCGGCTAGCCTCAATGGAGACTAGCCATCGGCGCAGAACAGGATTATAGTGACCAAGTGTATGTGCAAGCACAGGAGCACTCTTTATCACTCACTCTCATAATCTGATTGGACGGTAAACCGATATGACCGGAGAGAGATCAGGTGCAGGACCAACGGCTTTACGTGCTTTCCGAGGCTTCTTGACTCCGGACAACTACTGAGAATTTCTTGACAGAATAACTCGATAATCGATTTTTTGGCCCGACCCGGGATTCGAACCCAGGAACTCATGATCAGTAGTCGCACTACTACAACCAGCTATATATAAATATTGAAAAGTAAGAAAATAAATTGTGTCTGAATAATGACAAATATATCATATTTATGAAACATTCAAAAATATAACAAGTGTTGAAATTATGTTCTAAATAAAATATCATTTAATTTATTACAGCTTATCCAATCTCCCTGCTGTTTATAGGCCTTTCCCATAGATTACCTAATAAGGGGAAATTTTCCATTTATCATAAAAATAATATTACAACCCAATTGTATATCTTGCTTTTCAGAAGTTAAAAACTGTGGTATGTGAAGGTGCAGGTACAATGTCTTCAGCTCCACCACCACAAATACTTTTAGAGACTTCTGCATCAACTGATGATGATATTTGGGAGGGTGGTGCAAATAAAAAGAAAAAGAGGCCAGGCTTAAGTAGTGGACTAGTTCCAGGAAAGAAAGTTATTAAAATGTATAAAGAACAGAAAATCAAAGATGCAATAAACAAATAAGCATAGAGAAGAAGTTATTTTACTTAAATATATTACTACACATACAACCTTTACATAATTTTTCTTGAAGATGGTCCCACCATTTTGATATTACATACCGAAAAAAATTATGAATGGTGTGGTGAATAAATGGTGACCTTATATTTACTTATCATAGTGTACTGGGCATGAGCATATTATGAATATTATATATATATATATATATATATATATATATATATATATATATATATATTTATTTTACTAGCATGTGAGTAATTACTTTTAATCATTAAACACACTCACCATTGCTGCATTGACACCAACATGTCTAATCACTTACGAAAACATTCTACCATTGTAGTTTTAATAGAATAGGGCTGTTATGAAATGATTTTATTCACTATAGATTATTGCATAATACTTATAAGACAGAAACTTTTTTATTTACTTCTGGTTCCTAAAAAACCTCTGTCCTGGGAAGAATCAGCAAGAAACCCAGTGGGACTTTTTTTTTAAACATATTTCACTTTCCATTAATTTTGTTTTTACAGTTTTTAAATGAATCTATAGAACCAGCATGGTGGCGATCACATTATTCCCAGGGATTATTTTCATTTATGTATTCTTTGATTTTATAATAATTAATAACTCTTTTTGTATAAATAATCTTTAATGAAACATTTAAACTTGTTTAATGACAAATTTTGTACATTTTCTGGGATTTTGTTGTAAAAGCGTATACATTGCCCCATAAATGAATTAATAATTCTGTGGAGTCTAGTAACTGGTATTACAAGCTTATGTTTGTTCCTAGTGTTTAAAGTATGAACATCTTTATTCTTATGAAAGCTATTTATGATCCATCCGTTTATCAACCTTACAAGATTACAGCTTAACCTATTCAATGCCTTTGGCGCCCATAGGCGGCCTGACAATCTTTATTCACAAACCGAGGACGCCCATCGGAGTCTTACTTTCAAAGCTAATAGTAGTTAGTTAGTACCAGTTCTGGCTCACTGAGTCAGAAGTGGTACAAGTACAACGTTCGTCGACTCACGATCCTAAAAAAAAAAGGTTTTGGCATGCTCTGATCACGAATCTGCGGTCCATTTTTGCGTAGGATGCACGGTTCCGGAGATGTGCAGATCAATTAACTCTTATCTAATTGATATCCAGTGAGGGCCTCCACCGTCATTAGCGCTCCATTGTTCTTATTTATTGTTCATTGAATACCGTCATTATCTATTCGTGCGTCGGATTATCGGTGCTACTACTATTATACTCCTTTGTTCCTAACTGCAACGGTAATCTGAATCATCAATAAAATACATTACCTAATTTTGTTACAATTTTTATTTACGAAATACAAAATCTTATTACTTATTATCTATAAAATAGGAGCGAAACATCTCATCCACTAAAAAATCCTTGTACAATGTGTTCCCTGTAAATATACTCGTAAAACTATGCATTGAACATCCCTGAAACTTATATAGCAAATACATTAAGCAATATTCGCCACAAACTGAAGTCCACTCATTCTGAATCCTATCAACATTCCAGTTCCATCTTTTACAATTCCTTTTTAAAAACTAGATGATATCGTACAGGTGCTCGTCCTATGAATCAAAATATTGACCGACGTCATTCGTATCTATATATAAAGCTACCCAATGTGAACCTGGTTTATCATCTGTATCCAAATTGCATATTATATACGTTGGTACGTGGGTGTACCGTCAAATGCCCTAACTTTTCACGAATGTTGATATTATTTAGTTTTGTCGTAAAATAAATTTTGAATTTGTACTTTTTAGCAGATAGAAATTAAAACAAGAGTAAAAACAAGACTTAGGTATAATATATAACATTTATTTTAGACATTACGCTTAATATTAATAACTTTTTGGAGGTATTTCAAGAAAAAGGCAAAGTTATGTCTAATATTCCTAACATTGCCAGAGGCGTTTACTCCAAAATAAATATGTACATTTAATCGTGGGACAATCTAAAATGTAGCTTAATAATTCAACAATACAAATCAATTTCGAATAACACCTTTTTGGAGTATTTTAGTAGATAAAATTTTATAAGGCAATGTTAGGACACAATTTCTTCCTATATTCATACATTGACAAAGAAAGTGTAGGGTTGTCTCATAAGAAAAATAAGTAGGTAACAAAATATTAAAATTATATTTAAAACACATGTTATTAACACTTAATCAGTAATTCTCATTGCAAGCAGTTTTTATTAAAATTACAATCAGTCTTTCGAAATTAACCCTTTTTCTTAATAAACATAATCTATAAACCCACAATATGACGTAGTAAAGTTTTACTTTATTTATCCTAAAAAAATACAACAATATCACAATGAAGTCAAAAACTAATTATCAGGTAATGAATTTCAATAAATGTTTGACAAAGGAACACCTAAATTATCTAAATCAAACTTTAATGTCCCTCTACGTCCAACTTGTGGATTTGGCAACGTTTTTTCTACATCAAGTAAAGTTATTTCTGAGACATCATCTACTAGTTGCCAGTAAAATGTACCTTTTGAATTTTTTCTTAAGTATTTTATAGTATATACGCGCTCCAAATCGTTGTACTTGATTACTAGACCAATATAGTATTTAGCCAACTTTGATGTTGAAAATTTAACAAGAACATATTTATCAATACCTATTTCATACATATCATTTTCTTTATCATTATTTTGTTCCAATTCTTCATACATTTCGTCTATGTACGTTTCCGTGTCACTGAAAGATGGAAGAAAATGTTCATCACAAGACGAATCATGCACAGTATACATTCCTGAGCTTTCTGAACTCGAACCTTGATTGCTCCTACTTTTTGGAAACACCTTTTCCTGCTTAGTATAGTCATCTGAAACACTATCATCAAATGAGATTCTATCTGGGGATTTTATAATTACATTGGAGAGAATTCGGCTTTTCGTCATAGTTTCATTTGATGTAGTTGCACCAAAGTTAGAAATATTTTTGAATAAAGTCCGGTCATTTGATAAAAATAAATTTTTATCAACATTCACAATAACGCCTGGTTGAACGTTGTAAATACTTTTGGTATTTTTCTGGTCAGATAATTCCATATCTGCATGTTTTTGATGTATTTCAGCATTTACTATCAAATTAGTCATAAGTTGGTTATTGTCAGCATCGGATGACGAATCTCGTCTAACGTGTAATGAGACATTGTCAAAAGTATAACCCACACTTTGATTATATATAATCAAAGAATCTGCAATAGTTGAATGTGTTTCTTTCACGTCTTCCTGTAATTGGATTTCTTTGGGGATGATATTCTCCTTAGGATTGAGTCTTTTTGCGTTACTAAGAGTTGTAGCTGGTGCTTTTCGTTTTTGAGTTTTTTCATTTACGAGATCGGTAACAGTTACTGATTTTCCAGGCTCTATAAATATTTTTTTATTTGTATTTCTTATTTTCCGGTTCGCCGGGTTTCTTAAACCTTTCAAATAATTGACAAAAGTCTCATCGTAAGTAATGTTTGCTTGTGGCCTACGATAATCTGGCAATTTCTTTAATATAGCTTCTGGATTAATGGGGTGTAATTTTTGTTGCATCTAGTAACATTTTTAATAATTCGGGGAATATTTGTTTGTTTAATGTGTTAGAACTTGGGTGTCGAACTTTGTAGTCCGTTAAAATTCGCCTCCATTCTCTCTTCAATGGGCCGAAAAAGGCCACATCGAGAGGTTGAGTGTAGTGAGTGGAGTTAGGTGGCAAAAAGATAAATCTGATATTATGTTCTTCACACTTAGTTATTATATTTACATTCATATGTGACGATAAATTGTCTCCAATTAAAACCTTAGGATCAGTGGTTTTCACTGCCCATGGGATAATTATGGTATTAAACCAGTCTTCAAATGTATACGAATCGAACCAACCAGATTTGGTTTTGTTGTATCTGGTTCCTTCAGGCCCGTTTGCACACCAATTTGTCCACAAATTGTCTGCTTTGTATACGACATATGGTGGGAAAATTTCTCCACTTGCCGTAGCTGAGAACATAACAGATATCGCCGTCTTGGTATTGTTTAGTGTTTTGTTTGGGTATTTAGTACCTGCTTTAAATATGCATTTTTGAGATCCTGGGTTATCGGAAAAGTTGGTCTCATCATAGTTCACTATATGATCTGGTTTGACATTATGCAATGAAATCTTCAAATTTTCAAAATATGTATTGTAGTCCTTTACACTCTTACTGGCTCGGGATTCTTTAATATTATTTGTAGAACGCACCGTCAGGACATTTTTGTGGCGTTTCAAGAAGTTTCTTACCCACTTCTGACCCGGCATTTTGTAGTTAAAAATATTACTTAGTTAAGTAATCATGATCTTAATTCAAAGCTAGTAATAGGATACCCATATTCTCCACAAAGAATTAAACAACTGACTATTTTCTGTTCATCAGCTGGTGGCAGTTTGGTGGGACATCCGACTTTTTTCGTGTGTTTTTGTTTTACTTTATTTAAAATCGTGCGGCGAGGGATACCAAATTGTTTCTCAGCGTCGTATGAAGTAATATTTTTATTTTCGACGAGACCTACAGCAATGTTTAGTAAGCTCTCATCGTAATCTTTATATTTTCTTCGCGGCTTGTTCATTTTGATTGTCCTTCAAATAAACAGAAAACTGAGTAAGTATATATATATATATATATTCTTTTAACAAACTTTTTTTTTGTATAAGACTCCATTGACATTACAAAAACAAAGCAAGAAATTATCTAAAGTAGGTAAACATAATATATATAGGTCACGCGCCCGCCTAATTAAAATTAATAACAAGTGTCAACCCTAGGCCCGGCAATGTTCGGTACACTTGTTCACAAAACATGCCAAACTTTGCCTACACGAGTATTTCTCAATAATTATTGGTGTATTTCTATCGTTAAAAATGACAAATTATCAAATTATCATAGTTTTACGGAATGAGTATAAAACAAGTTAGAATTAAACATATTTTAATGACTTACTTGAAAAGTTTTCTCACAACTCTCGTAACCGCCGTTCTACACTTTAATTCAGCACCCGATTGTCAAAAATCTTTGCATTTTACCAACGTGATGCTACTAATTTTGTGTTGCCAGATAATTATTCTAAAAATATATCAAAGTTTCCGTTGTCAGGCTAATAAAATAGAACAGATATTACTTCTTTTTCATTATGGGCAAACATTGGACCCGTGGCAAAGTTAGGGAGTTTGACGGTACATGGGCAGTCTATTAGTAGTATAAACATTATTTTCTAGACTGGGGTGAATCTTTTTCAGATGTTGTTGTACATCTAGTGTATCCATGATATTACTGCTATTAGTAGATTATTACAGTACAATCTACTCAATGACTAACATAGGAATGATCAATTATAATGATTTCTAAATATTAAATTGCATTATTTTGTGTTATACAAAACGTATTTGAGTCATCAATACACTGAACAAGATGCAACACGAAGTAATGCTGAGATAAGCAACAGAATGTGAGATAAGCTTGTTGACGCATAAAGTTACTATCAAGTCCACTACAGAAATTCTTTAGATTAGAATTATTACTTACTGGTACTATATAAGACCAAGCAACTGCAGCCATGGAGTTAGTGTATGGTCGTTTGACCGCAGTGGATCTATCAATACTACATTTGTGTTACTTCAACGCATCAAAAGCCATGGATGTAAGTGTTTATTCTATTGACAAACTTACTTTTCTCTCTGTTATTTTCTTACGTGTGTATGATTTAGTGTTAACAAATTATATTTAAATATTATGTGTGTGTTATGATTAAGCTGTGGTAGCTCAGATGGTTAGCGCAAGCTGTAAATTTCCCAGTACGCGACCCGGGTTCGATCCCCGCCGGCACCAATTAAATTGTTAATTGCAATTTTAAGTGTTTATTCTATTGACAAACTTACTTTTCTTTCTGTTATTTTCTTACGTGTGTATGATTTAGTGTTAACAAATTATATTTAAACATCAAAATCACCACAATCACCCTAAAATAAATAATTTACTAATTTACTTACGTAAGTCAGAAGATTCAAGATATATATATATATATATATATATATATATATATATATATATATATATATATATTCAATATGTAACGTAATTAACGCACACCCTCAGACACCCCAATTAGTATATTATGTTATAATCATAATACATACAACGAATTTTTAGTTAAAGATTTTTATACACTGATTATTTATCAAATTAGTTATACTAATTCCGGAAGAATATTGTGGTCACAGTACAAATCCACGAACGCAAAGACTTTAACGTGCTTGAAATAAAGTTCATTTTCCTTTATTTTTATTGAATGACAGAATCTTAAAACTCTTATTGCCTTAAGTTACGGTCCATTTCAGTTTGTTTTGACTGTACAGATTTAGTGTGACTGTAATTTACGTAGTTTTAATTATTTTTGGGATAAAAAGTTACCTATATTAAAAATGATAGAAATCGATTCAGTAAATGATTCTGAACAAACTACTTTCTCAAAGTGCGTTAATTATGTTACGTGTTGTATATATTTTCAAGTAGAATAATATTGGTGTCAAAGGTAATAATAAAAATATTTAATCTAAATCTAATTACAGCCAAACATTACCTGCCACAAGTTCATGGTTGGTACTGCAGTGTCAGCTAACCTTCTTTTATTGTAAGCTTGGGGTATGAAATATGATTTTTCTAAATATTCGGAGCGAATGGTGCTAGTCCGTTTAGGTATCCAAGATTCATGGTTTCTACAAGCTACAATCCAAGTTTGTCGCCTAAAAAGGATCTTTTGGAAATCTGTAAAAACAAACCAATAATAGAAAAATTTACTACTTTTTGTAATAGGTACTTTATTGTAAAAGCTAAATAAAAACTACAAACCGGTTCGGCAGACAAACCCGCGTGGTTAATTAACTTATCGATAGCTAAAGTTGTGGCGTTCATCACTATAGTGCAATACTTTCGGTTGCAGTGATACCAGTTTATTTTTATAAAAATTGCACACTTTTGCTAGTTTCGATTTGACTTATTTAACCTTTATTTTGTATAATATTTTGATAAATACTAGTTATCGATTATATTAAATTATATAATATTCAGTATCGAGTTGAAATTGTGTTGAATATATAAATCATTTAACAAAATCCACTACACATCTATATGTAGTGATTATTATTCATCACAAACTGATTTAGTTATTTTTTTTATTAGGAAATATATTTTCATTAATATATTGAACTTGTGTGGTAAATTATATTTATTTAAGAATAGATTATTTTTCACATTATGAACTATTATGGCCACAATTGGTATTGGACTTGACTTGATTTGTATACTTGACGTTTTTGATTGTTTTTTTTTTTCATGTAAATACACTGCAATTCGGCATTTTGTCGGAGCTTAATTTAAGTGAGATTGTGGATAACATTTTAGGAATTTCTGCTTACAGACGTTCGGGGCCCCGTATCATTGATACGGCTGATACGGCGGTAGCTACGCCCCTGAGCTTAATGCTGCTGTGTTTCGTATGGGGTGTGTAGAGAACCGGAGACCCTTTTTAATGGAAACGAGGCATTCCATCTTAGTCTTCACGGGTGACAATGCATCTGCATTTTGATTTGTAATCGAGGATAGATGTAAATGTCTATGGGCCGCAGCAACCACTTACCATCAGATGGACTGTGTGCTAGTTTGTTACCCTATCCCATAAAAAAATCTATCAAGACCATGAAGGTTAGAGAACAAACTCCAAGATCAAGACAGACGATGACACTAGGAATTCTGACAACTTCATTGACTTATTGATATCAAAATTGACGTATATTTAATATACGTCAGTTTTGATATTTAAGCCTTGATATTCAGAATTATTGATTTATTATGTACCTATTGTTCTTTTTTGGTTGATTGCACTAACGACTGTAGTGAAATTGAACAAATGTCGGTTAACATTTTGTAATATATTAACGGGCTCATTAGAAGAAAACATTACTGGATTTCTTGCTGTGACTGAGACGACAGAAGAATATTTGAGTAATGCAATACTAGGGGAGCTAGTAAAAAATGGCCTGAATATTCAAGACTGTCGTGGTCAAGGATACGACAGTGGTTTGTGTGTGGTAGGCATACATAGTGGAGTTAAAACTTGAATATTATGTATAAATTCCAAGGCATTTTTGAAATTTTGCGGTTGCCATAGCTGGAACCTGCTGTTGGTAGACGAAGCTAATTCTTCTGTGGCAGCAAAAATATTTTGTGGTTTTATTAAAACTTTTATTACCTGTTTTCTGGTTCCAGCAAACGCTGGCAATTGATCAAAGATCGATTAAAGCTCATAATGAAGACTTTATTAGACACAAGGTGGTAAAGCAGAATCGAGGCAGTTAAGTCAATAAGTGTTGTTATTTAATGGTCTTGTTGGATGCATCGAAAGTTAAAAACATCAAATGGAACAATCAGACACACTCAGTTATTATGATTCGGTATTAAACGAAATGCTCAGTTTGGAATTTATTATATCATTACATGTTTGGTATGAGATATTATTAAGAGTGGTTAAGGGGAAATATAATGTCAAATGGCTTAGCAAGATCCTTCGTTATGCCGAAAATATTGCAGCATTAATTTTGAAATAAATATATGGTAAAGTTGAGGATTAATGTTAATGATTATGTTAGACGAGAACACGATTTCGTAAAATTTTCTCGATAGAAAAAAAATCCAAAGTTACCTCCAAAATAAACAATAAACCGCTGTTATTCATAAAATACTTTAAATAAGATCATGAAACTTTGCATACTAACTGAACTAACTATAAAGCAGTGCTTATGTTATTTACTTTTTTTAAAATACCATTATTTTCACTGTAAAAAGAAATTACCTAAACTATCGGCGTCTTGAGCTTGATTCCAGTCGCCCCGTTAGTATCGCTTAGGCTTTTGAAGGGAGAAGTTGTGTCGCTTACGATCGGAATATACATTACGCAACAGTACGACGTAAAATTAAAATGGGAAATAACCGTGATAAAAATAAGAAGCGGCTGGCTTGGCGTTAAGAAACAGGCATAAATATGATAAACCTAATGAAATAAGTGTCTAACGACCTTTCTACTTACAGTATTAGTGATTACAAACATATCGGTACATAGCATACGACGCGCGGGGAAGTGGGGGCGAAATTAGAATTTGAGCTGACTTACTCTATCCTCTTAATGATGGAGCCACAACCAAGTATGTCGCGAGATAAATCAACAGATTTTTATTTTTAACTGTATAGCTGCTCGCACAAAAAAAAAGCTATGCAGTCTGAATCTTTATTTTTATAGAAGAGGGGGCAAACTAGAACCTATGTATTTACCAAAGGTGTCGTATTGTTTTAAAATTTTGTTAGAATTTTGAAACAGTACCGAGCCTGTCATCTGCTCTAATAACAGATAGACCCAATTTTTAAGCCAGCCCGATCCCGAAGAAAGAAAATATTATTTGTGTACAAAGCCGTAGGTGAGTCACCAACTGATCCTAAAGAATTATTTATGGTTTTTTCTGTGATTGATACGGTCAAAATGAAAATAATTCCTGAAAGGTCAAAAAGCCTGTGTTGATTTGC